TTGAAGACCTTTTGGAAAAATATTGACCACGATGAAATGACGAAGAAGCTATCGGAAAAGATGATAGAATGGCATTTCATAGCACCCGCCTCTCCAAATATGGGCGGATGTTGGGAACGGTTGATAGGATCTGTGAAGAAAATACTCCAGAACATTCTGAAAGAAGAAAGTCCAAAAGATGAAGTTCTCCTTACTGTTTTTGCAGAAGCTGAAAACATTGTGAACAATCGACCAATCACTCATATATCTATAGACCCCAACTATGAAGAGTGTTTAACGCCTAATCATTTGTTGCTTGGATTAAAACGAGAGCCATTACCAATGAAATTTGAAGAAACTCCAACAAGAAAATTATGGAGAAAGGCTCAAAGACTTTCGGACAATTTTTGGTCAAGGTGGGTAAAAGAATATTTGCCAACCTTGACAAACAGAGGGAAATGGACCAAGAGCTCTATACCGGTTCAGATTGGCGACATGGTTGTCGTGGTTGAATCGAATTTTCCAAGAAATAAATGGCCGTTAGGAAAAGTAACAGCTGTTTTTCCTGGAAAAGATGGTGTTGTTAGAGTCATCGACGTGCAAACAGCACATGGTGTGTATCGTAGGCCGGTGACCAAAGTTTGTAGACTTGATATTCAACCTGATGATGGTGAAAACTGATGTTTCCACGATGGGGAGAATGTTAAATATTTCGTAATTTTTGCCTAAATTTGGTTGTAGTATCACTCAGTAGAAAAATAAATTGATTGGAATTGAGACATTGAAAAAGTGTAGTTGTCATTGACCTATAATTTGATTTTACTACACAAAAGAGTTCCAATTTATCACAGTATTGTTTCCTCCAAAACCGGAAAGACTCCCTGCACTGATCACGTATGAGCGACTCGATCCCTTGCCCTCCTGGGTACCCACAGCGAGATTACCTATATAAATACTAGGAGATGGGTCTCTGTGACAAACACTTCACAAATCCTCTCACATCACCTGGCCAACACCAGCCACCTCTGCGCTACGCGGTGGGACACCTAGGCGCACTCTTAGATGCACCAAATCTAATTTGAAATGATGTGTTAGAAATTTGTATTGACGTGTAACTTAGTGAAGAAAATAAACGACTTTAATACGACTCACGACCGCGAGATCTTGAGTTCGATTCCCAGCCAGAGCGAGGAACTTTTTTCAACATTTAATTTACGAATTGAAATGTTGTTACAATTTCCGGAGCATCGGCTGAGGATAGTCCTGCACGATTCACTGTTGCGTTCCAATTAACAGTGCTGCTCCTAAAGTGGCGCATGGAGTTAGTAACAAAGCCTACAATGAGAATGATGCTTGCTCGCACAAGAGACTCTCGAAGACTTCTGATGGTTGCTCGTGAGGGGACAACCGAATGACGGATAGAACAATTTTAGAATTTTTTTTTTAAACGATGTGGTTGTGAACATCAGAGAAGAAGTAGGACGGGGTATGCTGGTGGGTGGGGAAAACTGCCAGTTGATCGTGAGAGCGGCCAATGCTGCTTAGTAGGCCTCCTCTAACGGGGTTAACGTGGCAGTTGGCCAATGCTATTTAGTGGGCCTCCTTTAACGGAAGTTAACGAGGTAGCTTGCAGGCCTTCTACTGCAGCATATGGTCGTGAGTACATTACTACTACTAGCCTACAAAACATATCCGAAAAACTCTGAAAGCACGGATGATATACTGTGCTGGAAGAGACCTGATGGACGGTACCTGATAAAGGGTATTAGCCAGCTCTCTCACTCATTAAAACACCTTGGAGCTTGCAAAAAGGTCCCATTAGGGGCTAGTTGCTGACGTGCAAACGTCCCTCACCATTACCAGTACCAGGTATCCAGTAGCCAATCAACAACCAAAATACAAAAACGAAAACATCATGTTTCCGATTATCAACACAGATATTTCATTTTGATATCCGAAATGAGTTTTATTTTAGTGAAGTCATAACCTGTTTGTGAGAGATATAATTTCCCATATTACTGATACGAATGATTTTTTTGGAAGTTCGTGTGTGTTCAATAGATATAATTTAATGTCCGTCGTGGCATATAGCCAGGAAAGTAGTTTTTTGTTGAATAAACCGAGAAAGAATTATTATTTTAATCACATGGAGAATGTGAATTCTCAATGTATTTCTTTATATACAGTATGATGCAAATGTATGGAATAAATTCATTTCAAAACAAGACGACTTACGAAAAAAATCCAAAAGGTAGAGTTCAGAACTTTTTTATCGATGTATTTTTTCAACTAGACGACCCTTCGATGTTCAATTCACAGTAGAAGATCTATGCAAGATTCAGTTAACCAAATGATAATCCATTTTAATTTCAATCTTCTTTTGCAAAATTTTGACTATTGGATAGACGATCAGTAGACCTTTCAAACGGGGTGTCACATGACCCCTGTTTGTATTTGAAAAAACCGTCCATTACGTCATTACTCCAACACCGGTGACGTAACATCTCTCATATGAATGTCATGAGATGAGGTTTCAAAAATTAAAAATCACGTGTTTTTGGAATATCTTCAAATGTCGCCCATTTATGAAATGATGAATTTATTCCATACATTTGCATCACTTTCTGTGTTCATAAATATATCTGAGAATATTCCTTTTTAATACTTTCACCCAATAAAGGGGTTCAAACTTGAACGATGGAAACTTGTTATTTCTATAGACCTCAATCGCAGATTCCTGATTAGGTTTCCTCAATTCAAAATTTCTTTCCACGTCCTGTATGATGAATATCAATTCATCATACATCCAAACACACAAAATAATGTCGGAATAGTAGAAAATTAAAACTAATATTCGATTGAATCACATGGACTACATCATATAGGTACCAAAATTAATAACGAAACCCACCGTGAGCGTTCATATGGATTTTCTATATAAAATCACTAGCCTGGACAATATTCCAGCGATATTGTTTTCGAATCCTGCTCCTTATAGGAATATAACTCTAACTTTCAGGAAGTTACTAACTTTAATATACAATTGAGAATATTCCCTACCATGTAGGCGATTCGACTTCAATCAATTCATCAACAGGAAGAAAAACTTTGTTCGGCAACTATCATCTAATTACTTCAATATACAGTGGGCACGTAGAGGTTGAAACAAATTTATTGAAAGCTTGATATGGCCATTGGGAAAAAACTCTGACTCTTAGATTGTCTTTTTCTACGAAAGCGCTGAACGGACATAATGAGATTTCTTTTATAATTGCCAGTGCAAACTGGAAATCAGTCATTATTGCCAGTTTCAACTGGCAAATTAGTCATAAGTGCCAGTTTGAACTGGCAATTAGTCATTATTGTCAGTTTGAACTGGCATTTAGCCAGAGATAAGTGTCTGGTAACTTATCTCTGATTTAGCTATTAATTGCTAGACTGAACTGGAAAGTATAGCGGTTCATTCAGCTGACCATTCGTTTGTATCATGCCCGTAGTGGATGCTTCAGAAGTTCGAATAATAGTACTGGTGTTGTAAGTCGAAATATGACCTACAAATCAAGAGTTATTCAATAAACTCGAAGCAATTATCGAAAGGAATTCATTAGATATTAAGAAAGAGGTCGGAACAATCGAAACAATCGATCAGCTATTAAAGAACCTTGTAAAAGAATATTAGAACATGAATGACGTTGTTATACAATCAGGGACATGTTGATGTCCTAGAAAAGACCATCATAAGCCTGATAAAAATTCTACAATCCAAAGAAGAATCTGTTTGGATGTATGATGAATTGATGTTCATCATACAGAGCGTGGAAAGATATTCTGGATTGAGAAAACCCAATCACGAATCTGTGGTCAGAGGTCAGTGAAAATACCTAATGAGAATTCTCAACTTCGAAAGATTTTATCTTCAAATTCAGATTGTGTGTACTCAATGGATGTAAGTCAATGTTCGTCGCTAGAATATGCGAAATCCTAATGTATATAAGTATTTCTTTTCATGTACCCATTTTTTATGTTCACATATAATATATCTGATGAGAATAAAATACAAAAAATAATATTGGTATGTTGGAATCACATCATTCAGAACTGACTTGTTTGGAGTTTAAAAATCAAATGCTGACTATTCGAAATTCGATGTTCGATAGTACGCGCTAAGGGCCCTTCATTTATTGGGAACCCGTTTATAACTTTTAAGAAACATGAATTTTTACTACGGGCTAATTGAACTGGCAATTATAGCTAATTGCAAGTTTGAACTGGTGATTATGAATAAAATCTCATCATGTCTGTTCAGCGTTTTCGTATTTTTCAGATGCACATTTGTCATATAGGGTGAGTCATGAAGAACTGCACATATTCGTACCACTAATTGAGACCCCTGAGGAGAATACCCAATGAATATCAGAAAGTGTCTTCATCTCTTTTTCGCTGATATATAGGGTGAAATATGAGATTTGGCAAAAAACATCTCTTGGTCATGACTTCCCAACAGCTTCTTTGACTCGTCTGATTATTCCATTGAATATTTCGCTATACTACTCTCTAATCGATTGACTTATTCAGAATCGGAAAAGTCCAGGACATTTCTTGAAACATCTCGATAGTTCAGTGTATGTCAAAAAGTTCATCCTGAATGTGGTTTTTACAAAATCTTTTGCCAGGGAATTTTCACAAACAGGCATTAAAAATAAAATATTCCTAATTTTTCTCATACCTTCACTGAATTCTTCGATAAACGATATATTATAAGCAACGACTGAAATTTGGCATTATAGATTCATTTTTTTTTATCGCTTGGAGCGCACGAAAGGGAATCCCTATAATTTCCAAAGAACATTGTGCGTTCCTAGGAGATCATTATGTTGTTGGGAATACTTCCTCGGGCATACATTTCACGAATCAAAGTAATACCTACATTTTCCATGCTTTAGCCCGATGGAAATGCATCGGTCTCAGATTCCGGAACAAAAATACTGCTTACTACAAAAATACCTGTGGGTTATACTCACCGCCGCAAGTTTGTCAAATCTAGCAAAAAGCTCGTTGAGGATTTTCACAAGTCCCTGTGCTGTACACTTCGTTGACAAAACTGTAAAGAGAGACCAGAATTACATAACTATGTTAGATTGAATGTTCAAGACTCTATAGGATGAGGACTTTGTATAAATACAAATATTTGAGCCAACCAACCAAGAAAAAAAATTTCGGCTTTATCCCAGTAAAAAAAATAAAGTATTTTTCCCAAAACTTCACACCTTTTCGGTATAGCTAAAAACCTATAAACAATTCATTTTATTTGATTATTCGGGATTTCATCTTCTTGCTTCTACACAAATTAAAAATATGAGTATTATTGCAATATACGTGTCATACAACGAATCAGATGATTCTCACTTCGTTTAAAACATTTTTCGATTAGGGGAACTAAAATAAAAATTCACCATAGCTTGTCAGTGACACTTTGTTTGGAAAACAGTTTGAAGAGAAGAAATATATAAATATCAGTCAGTGTTTAATACCTCTAACATTCCATATGGGGTGTTTGATTAAGACTGGTCAACGGTTCTATTTTGTCCCACAACTTTTGGACAAAACTGTAAATATATCTGATGAGAGAAATGAATCAAGAATAGTAAGAAGGAGAATTCACTGACTCAGATTTTTTCTCACAGTCATATAATAACTATATATATATATATATATATATATGATACAGTTGGTAACTGGCCTCTTTCGGATAGCTTGTATATATGTCGGCGTCAAACAGTGAGATCCGTCTGGAATGCCTAGTCATTTTAACTAACTTTTTATACTCACATAACTAAAATGGCATTTAGCGTACGGATATGTACCACGCTGAATGATTGATTAATCACGGATTGTCAATCTGTGATTCATTCAAAATATTAATCATGTTACCATGGCAACACGATTTCTCAAACACATTACCATGGCAACACAGCTTCAGTAATTTGAGACATGTCTGGCCTGTCAATTGTTTTAACTGTCAACTGTTATCTTCAAATTTTCTATCAGAATTATTCAAACAATATTCGTTTGTATCATAATTCTTCATTAAAAGTATATGCGAAATGTAGACGAAAGTGAAATCGAAGAGAATGTTCTGGTACTTGCATATCTTCAAGAAGTGTAAAAATGAAGCATCCATCTTTTAGAACAATCCATTTATTCTGCGCCAAACATGACAATAATCGTGAAACAAAGGTTAGTAAGCAATGGACTGGACACATCTACAACCAATATCACTTATACGTGTCTCGCTGGTTGCATGCAGTTGCATGAATTATGTTCTCAATTCCCATTCCATTCGAATTGTTTTGTAGGTTAGCAGAAAGAGCAGGTATGTTAATGTAATTTTCGGAGTTCGTAGAAAAAGCATAGTATGTAACGCATTTATAAACTCTCAAAGACACTCGTTTATTAAACACTCGCTCCGCTTTGCTCCGCTCGTGCTTTAAATACTCGTTACTAAAAAGCCGTTTATAACACTTGTTACATAATATACTATTAAATTTCGTACACCGCCTAAGAGTTTCAGGCATTACCTGTAATGACGAAAGCAAGGTTCTTTAGGCCGAGTCAGCATAGGCAGTAGTATCTTCTCTTCTCTCAAGTAATTTTCTGAAAAATATACTTCCTGGAAAGAAGGTTCATTTAGGCGGAAAAATAGTCTCCCTTCCTATGCATATGCAGAAGGGATATTTTTCTTCCTCAACCCGCCGGCAACCAGAGTAACGGCTGAAAATGGAAGTTACGCTGTTACGCTGTTTGCCGACAATACGTGAAATGACTAGGCATTTCAGGGAATGACGGATTTCACTAATTGACGCCGAAATATACATACATTACGAGCTATTGGGAAATTGCTGATCACACGAGGATGCGGAAAAATATCTGCCTTCTGAGAAAGTGCTAGCAAAGTTTCAGAGCAATCTGAGTGAGTTTATGACATTCATTCAATCTGAAACCTGTGATTTAACGTCACTGAACAATCTCGGAATTTTCTGGTATTCTCGGGATTCCACCTGCAAGTCTGCAACTGCCACGATCAAGTCCAGTGTGCAATAATAGCAGGTGGAAGGCGCTTGTATGTCTTGACTTTGCTATTTCGTATCCTGAATCGAGTTGGGAATAGTGTCAATATGGCAGCTTTTACTACGCAAGTATATTGTGACTGAAAATGACTTATGGTGCAATTATTGAACACTTGCAGGAGTGTATTCGTGAAAACTTCATAGAATTCCCTAACGAGCGAATTCCAGAATAATTCTGAAAGTAGTACAGAAATTTCGTTGACACCGGATCATAAATTAACCGAAGCCCCCTGGTAGACATGATGTGAATCAGGTCCTGATAGGGTCTAAAAATTATTAGTAAATCAAAATACCTTGATAAGTACCCGGATAATTAGTCAGAGGTTGATCTTAACGCAAAAAATAGTTTGGCATATTATTCATGGAAATCGTGTCTAAGTCGTCTGTAGGAGAAAAATCATCAATTTGACAAATTGGAAGATATGCACCAAGAGAAAAATTCTAGTAAAAATTATCAAATGTTTCTCAACGTCAAATTTGTTCATGATTAATTAGACATATTCATTACAAAATGCTTATTCATCAAAATCGTACCTGATTATTTGCGACACTATTTGCTTTATTTATTAACAATAAATAATTTATTACTGCTATATTTGTTCATAGGGAACAAAATTATTTATCAATTAACAATTCATTCATTATGCCTATATATTCACGCAGTGATAATCAATAAGATAAATTTATAATTATAATTTGATTTGGTAATAAGTACCAATGATACAGTGTCTGTTGATGAATGTATGTGTTTCTTCATCATGATACATTTGCCTTCATAAGTCCACGTAATATGAACGATAAAATGCGATATTTTATTAAATTTTTCATTCGCTTATTATAATTATTCGTTTGATAATAATTGAAAAACTCTCATGCGCGTGATCAGCTTCCATCTTATAGCGTAAGCATCTTCATGAAATCTTTGGTGATTTCCTTGTGATCTCGATCACCGCGAAAGCCGTAAAGTGTGATGGTTCTCTGAAGAGCTGATTTCATCAATGCATCACACTTGGTGTCTAGCGGGAATAATTGCGGATGTATAGGGTGTTTAAAATCGAGATTTTTCAACTTTGTGTCCAAACTATTCATTATTGGTCAAAAGGAGTCATATGTCCCTATCACAACCTTGGATTTACTATCTATTGACATTCAATCGAAACACTACAGGGTGGTTCAATGAATGGCTTCGACAGAAAAAAATCCTTGAGTTGAAAAATCTCGATTTTGAACACCTTATATCTCTGTAATCATTCACGCTAGACTCCTAGTGTGATACATTGATGAGATCAGCTCTTCTGGGAGAATTCAGAAATGCAATGAAATACAGCAGGGTGTTTCATTTGAAAAAATCAACTAGTACCCTATAGATCGTTTGATCCGAGCACCCTGTTTTTTCTGATGTAGCGGAAAAAAACTTTATCAACAATTATTTTGAATGAGACCTCAAATTTTTCGATTGATTAAAAAATAACTGAGCTAGAAGGGGGGACATTTATGGTGAATCACCCTGTACAAACATACATAGTGAATATATAATATATGTGACATTACCTGTGAAACCTTTGATGTCAGCAAAGAGGATACTGACATTTTCATATCTGTGTATATAAATTTTATGAAATGGATGGGGCTCCGCTGTTTTTCCGTCTCTTTCTTTTTCTTCTTTCTCTATGTCTTTGATCATTTCTTTCGCCACGAAATCTGGCAATACTGTAAAAATAATCAGTTCAGTTTCATGCTATAAACATCAAAATAATTCATTCATATGAGAGCAATATCAATGATTTTCATAAAATTTTCTCTTCACAATGTTTTTTCATCTCTTGGAGCACACGAAAGAAAATGCCTATAATGGCCAAAGAACATCATGCGTACCTAGGGAGGATAGGGAGAGGAGGTAGATGTAGGTACTTTTTTCAACTTTTGAAGGTTATAAGTTCTTGGGAATACTTCCATTGGCAAAGAATTTCAAAGTTCTGCCGTTCTATAGACGAACGAGTTATTGTAAAGTGCTGTTCGACTTATGTTAAGGTTGACAACGGAAGGATGTGCTGACCGACTCTTTTCTGGATGGAATCTGAGAGCATCAGCGTATGTTTTGGTGCCAAACCCCATTTATAAGAACAGTATTTCAAAACTGACCGTATTTGTGCTTTGTCGATCATGAGAAGCTGTTGAGGTGTAAAGTAGGTTTTTGCATGGAGAAAGGATATTAGTAGTAATACAAGTTATTATCTTCCCATTCAAAACACAAAAAAACTATTCAAGTACTATTTTCATATTATGATGTTAATCGTATAGATAAGTATGGGTAGCCGTGAAAGTATGAATGAAAATTGAGTTGCATGCATTGACCCTTATGGAATCCATTTTATCGCCCATGGCACATATGTTTATCACTGTTAGATGAACTCTGATTCCATTTCTTATTTGGAATATCTTCGTCTTCTCCATTCACAAGATCCTGAATTTCTGAAGCACTTTTGGTGATTGCATAGTAAATTGTTTCGTTTACCGATGAGAAATAATTCAGAGCGTATAGCGAAACACTCTTTGAATGTTTAAGATGACAAATATAAAATATAATCCATATACAGTTTTCAAAATCAATCCAAAATTCACAAATTCTTATTATTCGTTGTAAAACTATGATGTTCTTATATTTTTCCACAAATTTATTGCTACATCACATGATTCTCAGAGTACGAAATATCTGTAATATATCTTACTAGAACTTTAAGTGAGGAGAGATGATTTTCTTACGATTCATGTCAGGTATGAACATAAAATATGACTTATTATAAAGCCAAACGTAGGATTTTATAACCTTGGCTGCATTACCATAGCGGGAATTTAAAGATAAATCATATCAAAATGCTCTGTACGTTATATCTGGGAAGGTGCCTATATATTATGAAGTTGAAACTATAAATTTGAGAAGTATTCACTCATAAACGAAAACCTTATGAGAACGCATCGCACAAAAATTAAATATTTCAGGATGCGTGAAATTGAGTTTACCTTTTCTCATTTCATTTCATCTCCAAATTGGTATAGGTATGAGGGTAGAAGGAAATTTCATGATTAGAATTCAAATTGAAATCCACCATTTAAATACGATTAAGTGGTGCTTGCTATGCCTCTCAGATGTAGGTATATACCTACAAGTCTGGCACGAAATCTCCGCAAATTAAAACATTCAATTACTCTGAAGCTTTAAGCATACGGTATACGGGATTATAATATTAACATTGATACAGCACTTCCACTTGCTTTTTAGTGTCTGATTTATCGTATGTACTTCATCAAAGAGCATCGATGTCGCTATACATTAATTCAGGGATCAATTATATCAACGTTGAATTTTGATTAATTTTTTCATGTTCTGGTTCCCACGAAAAGGGATATCCTGTAATGTTCAGAGAACATCGTGAGAACCCAGGGGAAAAAGAAAGGAATTGGTGTTCTTCTCAAATTTCTGGAGGTTATATGCCTCGGGGAACACCTCCCTTGATAATGTGTTCCAGAGCGTCGCTGTTCGTTGGATGAACGAGTCTTTGGAAAGAGATGTTCTGCAGGTCTCCAAAGTGACCACGAAGGGGTGCGAAGCCAAGCCTCAACCCGACGGGTTAATCTCGCGGGGACTGCCAAGGCAGGAACAATTGTTGATATTTCAGAAGAGCATCGTCTATAAAATAAAGCCAGAACGCCAACTTTTCTACGGCGTTCCAGAAAAGTGAGTGAGTTTGTGAGCGAGGCATCACTCACGAGACGAATTGCCCTTTTTTGGACAGAATCCAACACTTTCAGGGTATGTTTGGGTGCTGCACGCCAAATATGGAAACAGTATTCCAGGATAGGTCGGATCTGTGCCTTATAGATCATAAACAGCTGACTGGAAGTGAAAAAGCTCCTGGCCCGAAACAGAAAACCAAGTTTTTGGGATGCACTTTTAGCAATTGATCTCACGTGATTTTCCCAAGAAAGGTTTTTGCTGATAGTAATACCAAGCATCGAAATGAATGCCTTCGAAGGTATGGTTACTCCTGACAAGCTTATGTTACAGTGAGATCGGCTTTTCTAGAGAAAAGGCATGCCTGTGTTTCGTTTGCATTGAAATCTACCAAGTTATTGGATCCCCATTCGAGAATGGTTGCCAAGTCCATATTTATGTTGTCAACATTTCTCCCTCGTTGGTTTCTGATTTGGCTGGCTGTGTACTGGACATAAAGTTGCTTCCAACAAATCGTTGATATGGAGTAGAGATAGTGTTGGTGCTAGAATTGATCCTTGCGGACTACCAGCATTTATGATATGTTGCAGTTGTTTTAAAGTTGTTCTATCCGTCATTCGGTTGCCCCCTTATGAACAACCCACAGAAGTCTTCAAGAGACTCGTGCGAGTCACACTCTCTTGAGCCATCAGAAAAATGTCTGCAGTCGTTTGGATTTGAACCCACGACCGGCAAGCCATCGCGATTAGAGAACTAACGCTTCTATCACGCGGCTGTGAAACATTGTATTTTTTTTATGTATGATAAATTGATATTCATCATGCAGAAAATGGAAAGAAATTCGGGGAAAACCTAATCACGAATCTGCGATTGAAAATAACAAGTTTCCATCGTTCAAGTTTGAACCCCATCATTGGGTAGGAGTATTGAAAAGGAATATTCTCAGATATAATTGTGAACATAAAAAGATGGATATATATATATACAGGGTGAGTCATGACTAACCAGCCATAGCCCAATGGCGGATAGAGGAGGTCAAGGTGAGTTGATATATATATAATAAAATATTTTTTGCCCATTCTTTACAGAAATACAGGGCATTATTTGAATTCGGGGCAAAACTCCAATGAAAGATATTTCAGGAACGTCTCGATGTAATCGGCTGAAATTCACTAGCAACTTACCTCTAATGACACTCCACAAGATGACGTACTATGAATAAAAAATTCCAGATCCGGACTTGGAAAACACATTTTCTCTTTAGATGTCAAAATTTTGACCTCCTGGATCGGATTTTTCGAAAACTTTTATCAGAATCAGAAAGATCAGGAAAAATACTACAAGTATGGCTTTTCAATTCGTACGGCACACTTCGATCGTTTTGGTAAAATAATATCAAACAAAATACCGATGAATTTGTCTTCGGTTTCGTCCGGGCATATCATACTCTCTACATTCGACTTAAAGTAATTAAATCAAATTTTTCCCTGGAAAGATTCAACAGCACACTTGAGAAAAGGTATAATTCAATAAGAAATTCAGGACCGGACTTGATTTTGGAAAATAACAATCATAATTTCCGAAAAAGATTTGTCAGAATCTTAATATTAATCAAGATTCTCAAAATGTCCTCCTCCAATTTCTAAACATTTCCTGCATCTCTTCGGGAGACCTCTTATGGCTTTTTCAATAATTTGCCTATTATTTCTGATTATATATCTGCAGCTGTAACTATCCTCTCCCTCAGTTCGTCTCTGGTGTTGACTTCAGTCTGATAGACCAATTGTTTCATATGCCCCCAAAGAAAATAGTTCAAAACTGTGAGATCAGGGGACCTTCTTCGGTATTCTCTCAATGCTGCTCTTGAATTGCCATCACAAAAACCGTATACAAAAATAATATCTGCATATTCAACGTTATTGAAATGCAGTGGCATTTTGAAGATATGAAATGAAATATGAAATTATAAAATTAGTAACAGTATGTATTTGAAATTATCAACAATGAACTAGATGTCATTTGACAGTTTCAACAACCGTCAAAAATCGAGTCAATGACATACACTACTATATCACAGCCTTCTTTTCATGTGTATTCAGAATCGATGAACTACTGAACTCACAATTTGATTTGCTGATTGGAAGAGTTCACAAGAAATGAAATCATATTCAGTATTACTTCAAATCAAAATCCCTCCATGTAGTATAAGTTGGCACGTATATCTGATTCGAAAAAAAATCTGCTACCAAAGCAACAATTGTTCTTATTGAATACAAGGTTTTCACATTATCACAAGTAGAAGTTAGATTTCAATTGAAAATTGGGAGAGGATAGTTACATCTGCAGATATAATCAGAAATAATAGGCTTATTATTAGAGAAGCCATTAGAGATCTCCCGAAAAGATGCAGAAAATGTATAGAAATTGGAGGAGGACATTTCGAGAATCTTGATTAATATTAAGATCCAGACAAATCTTTTCCGGAAATTATAATTATTATTATCCAAAATCGAGTCCGGTCCTGGATTTTTTATTGAATCATACCTTTTCTCAAGTCTGCTGTTGAATCATTCCAGGAAACAATTCGATTTAATTACTTTTAGTCGAATTTAGAGAGTGTTATGCCCGGACGGAATCGAAGAAAAATTCATCGGTATTTTGTTCGATATTTTTTTACCAAAACGATCGAAGTGTGCCGTACGAATTGAGAAGCCATACTTGTAGTATTTTTTCTAATCTTTCTGATTCTGATGAGAGTTTCCGAAAAATCCGATCCAGAAGGTCAAAATTCTGACATCTAAAGAGAAAATGAGTTTTCCAAGTCCGGATCTGGAATTTTTTATTCATAGTACGTCATCTTGTGGAGTGTTAGTAGAGGTAAGTTGCTAGTGAATTTCAGCCGATAACATCAAGACGTTCCTGAAATATCGTTCATTGAAGTTTTGCCCCGAATTCAAATAATACCCTGTATTTCTGTAAAGAATAGGCAAAAAATATTTTTTCACATATATATCAACTCACCTTGACCGCCGCTATCCGCCATTAGGCTATGGCTGGTTAGTCATGACTCACCCTGTATATATATATATATATATATAAAGAAATACATTGAGAATTCGTATTATCTATGTGATGAAAATATCGATTTTTTCTCGGTTTATTCAACGGAAAACAACTACTTTCCTGGCTATACGCCAGGACGAACATTGAATTATATCTATTGATGTAAACACATGATCAGTATTTGAAAACAAAATCTTCTGTAGAGAGAGAATTTGCATTCTCCCTCATATAAAGATATGCACGTGATATCATTCTGAATATTCAACAGAAAACAACTACTTTCCTGGCTATTTGCCACGTCGAACGTTGAATTATATCTGTTGAACATCCAAAAAGAGAGCAGGAACAATGAAAATTCTCTGAAATTGAGAATTGACATTATCTCTCAAATCGGATAAAATAATATGAGCCAATTGGTAAGTCATATTTTTATTTCATAATACATCATTATCTCTTTATGTACATACATTTTTTATGTTCATAATTATATCTAGGAATATTCATTTTTGATACATTGATACATCACTGATTTTGATCAAACATGTCATGCTCATCTTCAGTAGTAATGGGGTTTGATGTGAATTCAAATTCACCGCTATTTTCTTCAATCACTTTCTTCTCCCACAATCTATTCAGAATTAGGAAATTCAAGTTCACTAGTTTTGTAATTATGATCCGATTCAATTCAAAATTTGCATTTCTGGATTTTCGAAGTTGAAGATTATGATTCTTTCGTTAAAGTGAAAAAAATTTAAGATGTCCAATATGGTGGACGAGTTTTGCAATTATATGATCTGATTCTATCGAAAATTGTTATTTGGGGGTTTTCGGGGTCGAAGATTATGATTCTTTCGTCAAAATTATGTGCTCACAAGGTTAGGTTAGGTTAGGTTCCATGTGAGTGGGGCGAACACCTCCCCTCCACTGCGACCCCAGATGGGTCTATTGTGGCTCACCCCTAGAGATTACAGTTCACCGTACAATCCACATCTTTTCACAAAGTTCATGGTTGAATTGGGTGAGATTTGTCTGAAATCGATAGGTTCTAGGTTGGTAAAGCCAAATGTGTCGAACCTTAGTCTTTCTAAGCTAGAGCATGAACATAATATGTGTTCAGCCGTTTCGTCTTCCACACAACAGAACCGACAGTCCGTTTGTTGGTTCAGACCCATCCTTCCCAGGTGGTATCTTAGACGACAGTGTCCCGTAAGCAGTCCAGTCAGATACTGTCTGTAGGTTAATCGAGGAGAGAAAATCCCAAAGAACCAAGTAAAATGAGTCCAGTCAGAATTCGCAGGTTACCCCTTCTCCATTCTAGGATCCGCCTGATTATTTTTTCCGATGGTTCAGGCAGGAACGCCTTCGAATGGGTTAATCCTGGTAATTCGGACCAGTACGTGAGTGTTTTTCCCTCCGCCCAGCCCGAGATAGTTGTTTTCGCCGCACTTGCGGTGACCCCAAAATATGGTTCTGGTCCGATGAACACAGATTCGGTTCCCTGTTTGGCGAGGATGTCGGCTTTTGGGTACTCACAAGAATTTGAGAAGAGTAAAAAACACGCTTTTGTAGTTAGTCGAACTGAAAAATAGAAGATGAATAGTAGTTTAAAAAAATGAAGAAACACTCTTTTATGAATAGTCAATCTAAAGGAAGATGGAAAATAAAATAATAAAAGTGTATCTAAGTATATTCTATGTTTCATATTTATCAACACATTTTTAATATTTAATTTCATACTAGTTTTCAGTTTGGCTACCTATAGAAGGGTGTTTCTTCAGTTTCTCAAACTAATTTTCATTATCGATGTCGAAACGATTCACGTCATCGTCTGATAGTGTTTATTTCTATCTACCCATAAATATCTTTCTAACATCAATATAACACGCTGTAAGTGTTTACTTTTTTCAATTCGAGTGGAAACTTGTGGAACAAATAATGTTTTCCAACCTGATAACAACAGCTTCTCCTGTTTGTCGTTTTCGCTCTGCGTTCTGTATCTGGTTTCCATTGATCTGTGCGTTTCCAGAAAAGCCTTCCTTTGGCTTCTGTCGGTCAAATACTTCGTATACATTCCGGCGAAATTGACGCATATATACAACAGAACGTTCGCCATCACTCTTCTTATTTTGCAGTCGTCGGAGTCGTTGCACTGTGAAAACATCATTTGAGAGGAAAGTAACGAGAATAGGAGAATAAAATTTGCCATTTCATTCGAGGATATCGATTGCTGAACATAGATAGATAGATAGATAGATAGATATTTTATTTGTCTTTTAGGTGCATTCATAAGAATACAAATAAGATACGTCACATATACATAAGTTATGAATATTACAAAAACTAGTGGCTAAGACTAGAGATTTACAGATGAAGTTAAAAATTAAAAATTAAATACTAAATACAGGGGGCCACCCTCATACATTTTTTATTTATAGAGTGATATTCACGATTTTTTTTTTAAATGGAGAGGGGGGAAAATATATTATATAGCCAAGCGGTGTCCATTTTTTGAGAAAACCAAGGCCTACTAGATCACATTCAGAAGATGAAAAATCCAGAATCCTAATCAAAAAATCCGCGTACACTACTGGAATCGGCGTTTTTGTGGAATTTGATATATTTTCATGTTCATCCTCCTGTATACGGAGGTAGATTCGAGTTTGACACTTTTTGTCAGGTATTAATTTCGTTCAGTTAATGAAAGTCATTGTTTTTGTAATACATATTCATTCAGGAACAGCGCCAGCAGACAGCTACATTGGTCCTTCGAGCCGGATCTCTGAAGATGAATTTGTAGACATACGTAGACATGTTTAGAAAGACTGAAGAGATTTCTGGAGTTAAACGGAAAACATACGATACTAGACTGCAAAGGAGAGCCCGTACATTAGATCAACACTCCGATGAATGAGTTGAGTTCACGAGAGATAAAGTAGATGAAAGAACAAGAAAAACAATACTTGAGAAAAATTGTCGAACTCGAATCCACCTCCGTGTACAAGAAGATGAAGGAAGGAAGATGAACATGAAAATATATTAAATTCAACAACAGGCGTCTTCTAAAATAGATCATTTTCATGAAAACATTACAGAGTGTTTCATTTTAAACGACCCCCTCCATATCTTAGCTGTTCGTCGTGCGATCTTCACCAAAGTGGAACAGGTATGAATGACCATCAATGGGATCAATTTTTCAGAGAGATACGATTTGTTATGAAATCATATTGGGTATTTTTTCGCACTAAAACTGACCTCATTGTTTTTCATGGTTTGAAACCCCTATATGTGAATTTTCATATTCCCATGAATGGTTCAACATGGAATAGCATATCTTGTTTATTCTTCAAAATCACGATTCTCTACCTACCGGACCTATTAAAACTGTTTTAATCTTCTCCTGAAGATGCTAACATAGTTAGCGAGACACGTGTCGAGGTGTAAAAAATCGGTTTGGTTAGTGGTGAAACAGTGTGTAGTGTATTATCGTGCCAAAGGTTCCAGTCTTCTATATACAGTGTGTCCACTTTAAGGACTTACCACCCCTGTAAAATCGTTATTATCCGACCAATTTCAAAAAACCCTTTTTTTGTTGGATAGGTATTTGAAATGCCCATCCAACGAGAGAGTGATCTAATTCTTGGACTGTTATCGTGGCCAACTGCGACAAATTTCAATGACCCATATTCCAGAAAGTACTATCAGGGATTTTTTTCACGAAACTTGATGATGGATTCTGAATAAGTACCACTCGAAATATACCTGTACCGATTTTCATCATCATAAAACACAGGGTGTCCGAAAAAACGAATCATCATTTTCTTCAAATAGGTGATCAGCAGATGTAGTTCTGTGGTTTTTCTAGAAATAAATAATCACAAATTATCATTGAGGATAATTTCAAATATATCTGTACCAATTTTCGTCATTTGAATATACAATGTGTCGGAGAAAAAAATTAAAAAGGATAGGTAAGCAATATTCTTCATCCTGATAATTCTTCACTCAAAATGAAAACATGAATCAGGATCACTTGGAGCATACCTGTACTGATTTTCATCATCATTAAACACAGGGTGTTCGAAAAATCAAATTTCTTTTTAATTGTTTTCTCATACACATCGTATTTTTGAATGATGAAAATTGGTATAGATATGTTTGAAGTGATCCTCAATAATGATGTGTCATCAATTCTTCTCAAAAATACCACAATTTTACATTTTCTGATCCACCTATTAAAAAAAAACATAATTCGTTTTTTCGGACACCCTGTGTTTTATGATGATAAAAATCAGTAAAGGTGTTTTTCAAGTGATCGTGATTCAGAATCTATCATTGTTTTTTGTGAAAAAAATCCCTAATAGTACTTTCTCAAATATGGGTCAATAAAGTTGGTCGCAGTTGGCCACGATTACAGTTCATGAGTAGAATCACTCTCTTGTTGGATGGACATTTCAAATACCTACCCAACAAAAACAAGTTCTTTGAAATTGGTCAGATAATGAAAATTTTACAGGGGTAGTAAGTCCTTAAGGTGTACACACTGTATATAAAGGATGTTTAAAAAAATGTGCTGCATCGCTAGGATACATAGAACACTGCAACATAAGCTTTTTCAGTTATGGAATCTCGTAACGGCATCTGTATATACATTCCATAAACGACTATGTCGAAACACAGCATTGTATAATCATCTTCTGGAAGCTGACTCATGGCAAGAATTAGTTCTTATATCTGACTCTCATATAGGATGCTAGTTCCATGGTTCGTATACCGATAGTCGTTTCAAAAATAACTCAGTTCAGATTTGCTAGTCCAAATATGTGAATTTGAACAACATATAGTTTCACACCAAAAAGGTACTCTTGGTAAAACTAGATACTGTGTACCTTTTTCGGAATATTTTGATTCGAGAATGATGCGAAGTTATAACTAATGGAAGTTCCATAAAAGGCTAGTACCTAATAATCATTGGAAACCAAAAACAACATCATTCTAATGCTGAAATTCTTAATAAAATCAACAATCACAAGAAAAAAAATATGACTGAAAAAATGGGCTACACAGTCGTGTCGTATCTCGAAAAAGAAATCTGCTACAGAGTATAATTCACATCGAGAGTTGCAAGACAACAATGAATATCACCTGAATGCTCTTATAGCTGATCACTAACAGTTTTTTATCTCTTGGAGCGCACGAAATAGACTTCCTATAATGTGACGTTGAAATCAACTAGGCCACAACATCAGTTATCAATAAATTATTTTCGAATCAAAATATTCCGAAAACTGTACACATATTCGAGTTCCATACCATAGGTACCTTCTTAGTGAAAAATAGGATGGTCTTGAGGTTCATATGAGATTTGGACCATACAATTCAACCTCAAAAAGCTATGTTCAAAACTACTCCGACAAAATGTCATTGAGATGTTATTGACATTAGTTTCGACATAATCGTAAAAAATGAGATTCCATTTTTTTTCGACAGCTTATATCTTCAATACCGATGTCGTAACAAAAATTTGTCACTGAGCAAATCCAACTTATTCTGCAGTGTTCGACCTTTCCTAGCAACGAAGCCATCCTTTTCAAAACACTCTGTATACATCGGAAAACAGGACACAAATTAAGTTTGGAACCCTTAAGACGTATCTTCGCATAGGGACCAGTGGTCTGTACATGGAGACCAAAGAACACCTTTTTCAATTGTAATTCAGAAAGTGTTACTTGTAATTCAGATTAGTGAGATGTAAGTCAGAAAGTGTAACTTGTAATTCAGGATAGTTAATTGTAATTCAGAAAGCGTCAATTGTAATTCAGATTAGTCAATTGTAATCCAGAATGCATAACATGTTATTCAGGTTAGTGAAATGTAATTCAGAAAGTGTAACTTGTGATTCGGAATAGTCAATTGTAATTCATGAAGCGTTATTTGTAATTCATAAAGCATCACTTGTAATTCATAAATAGTATGGATATGGACTTGATAAGGGTAAGGAATAGAAATCAACGAATGGTTTATTGTGTGGTGAACATCAATATTTCATATTTATCGACCAACGGGCATATATTGAAATGCCAGAGCTGTAGCATGGTGAATGGTGGTGTGTTGTGCAGCCCTAGCACAATCACCCCCAACAATAATTGTATCTCTGGCCTGGTCAATATTCTGTTCAAGATAAACAAGTCATTGGTCTCCAACACCCGGACCTTCAACTTGTGGTACTCGCAGATTCACTTTTACATGTTACTTTATTTTGGACCATATTATTTCAATTGGGTTGTTCTTAGTTTCTGAATGATAGTGAAGTGATACTTTCTGAATCACAAGTTATGCTTTCTGAATTGCAATTGACGGTTTCTGAATTACATTTCACTATTCTACATTACAAAGTTACACTTTCTGAATTTCATTTCACTAATCTGAATCACATCTTCAATGCTTTCCGAATTACAATCAACTAATCTGAATTTCAAGTTATACTTTCTGAATTACAATTAACTATTCTGAATTACAACTTATACTTTCTGGATTAAATCTCATACTTACTGAATTACAATTGAAAAAGGTGTAGTAGCGCCAACGTGTCCCACTGCCGCAATGGAGGTAATTATATAGGGTGTCCCGAAATTAGCCTACTAAACTCCACCAGTGGCTTCTACGACCAAAAATAAGCAGAAAAGTATCGATGAACAGGAGTCGATAAATATCTCCTAAGGGAGCTACAGCACCCTGAAAGGGACTCCTGAAGATTATATTGCTACTTCTTCTTCCTTATTTATTTAACGTCGGCCTTTTTTTGCCACTGAGGCTAATCACCGATGCCGGTGAGCACACTACCCCCAACCGGAAATTTTGCCGAATCCTCTGGTGTTCCAACCAGAGGTAGGGATCTTTAACGAGTTCAACATCCATGTCCTAGGAACCTTAGGGACCGCCGGCTTAACGTCCCCTCCGAAGGACGGCATACCCGTACCATATCTTGTGCTCATTGATATGGTAGCTGTAGCTATGATATGCTATTCCACTACAGATGTACAGGCTAACTTCAGATATCGAACGGCTAGTGCCTTACCTGAGAAGCTAGGGCGATGCCCAAGATTATATTTCTTGAATAATTCCGAAACGCATCTTCATGAAAAGATTAGAACAGTTTCAATCTCCTCCTGAAGATGATAACATAGTTAGCGGAACACGAGTCGAGGCGTAAAAAATCGGCTTGGTAAGTAATAAAACGGTGCGTAGAGTATTATTGTGCCAGAGGTTCTAGTCTTCGGTATATCGGGAACGTTCAACAATATAATAGATATAGGTGATCTCGTTGGAATCGACAATTTACTTAAACCATTCTCACCTTGTATGCGCCATCGTATATTTGGAGCACTATTATAATTATATGTCCTATCGAAGCTAGTGCGCCTGCCATCATGCACCATCTGAGTGGAAGAGGTAACATTGCATATGGGACGAAGATGGTGAACAAAATGTACCACACCAATTCCTCTTTGACGCCAAAGCCAACGCCTTTTGCACAAAAACCTGATTCGAAGAATATATGTATATCAAACATTAGTAGATGCAAGTGGTTGAAAACATAGGCCGACAATCAACAAAATAAATCCCGTGAAAAGGAGGTGAGACCTTGACTTATCACAAATATCACAATATACCTAGTTATTTATTATACAAGGGAGAAAAGTTGTAGATTTTAGCTCTAGGTTGCTGAAACCGTGAGCTAAAATCTAATATTTTTTCCGTGTACAATGCACAATTTTTTTTTGTGATAGGGAAGAGGACGTATTGATATCGGGAAGATAACACATTATATTAAAATCAGAAATTATCGACGTTAAATTTGGAGTTTTTGACAGTAGGGATACCTGCGTTGCAGGCATCTTCATCATTCTTTTGAAGAAATCAAATATCTGTCAGTCTAATTCTTTGATTCGATATTGAAAATTTGCGAATTTAGTGGTTGTTTAGTAATTTACTTAGCCGCAAAGTTGAATGGAAGATAAAGGACTTGCAGTTCTTTCTCGTAGACGGTGTTATTGGCTTATTTTTCGGAACCATAGCACAAAAAATAGAAGCCATCCACAGCTAGTGTATAATTAGCCCAGTCACCTTAGGAAAAATAGCGGGAATCGGGGCCAAAGTTTTGAAAATTGGTGTACGTGTTCCTCTAAGCATTACATCTTACCAAAAAAAAGTCACCACCCGTACCTGTAGAGCTTTCGCCGCCATCTTGGAAAATAGGTGCAATATATCAGTTTCTCACGTATATCTCGGTAATTGTCAACTTTATCGCGATAAAGGTGGTGAGGTAAAAGGAAGCTAGCAAAATTTCTCGTAAAAAAGTATCTATCAATTCCGAAATATCCACGGTTCTGGACTTATGTCGCCACAACGATTTGGCAAAATATGAAATTCTACTGCAAACCGACTGGACAAACTATAATTCAGTTATATACACTCCTGGTGACCTGAAAAAAAGCATTTATAGCTATAATCGTTCAATGCAAGTCCGGACTGGCTGAAATCATAATTACGTTTTATCCTATCAGTATTCGCTTTTTTTATGTTCTGGTTCCCCCGAGAAGGGATATCAGATAACATCGTGAGGACCAAGGGAAATAAGGTAGGGATTGGTGTTCTTCTTAAATTTCTGGAGAATAAAGCATGTCATCTTGGGTTCGTCTGTATTCACTACTTATAAGGGATGAAACGGGAAAAAACGATGCCGTGCATTATTCCTTGCAATTGCAGGAAATTACCTGGAGCAAAGAATCTGGAGCAGCAGGTAGGGTAGTTGGCACAGGTACCAGACCAACAGCGCTCCTCTTCCACCCTCAAAGCTCAGGACATTTTTGATTACCTAACCACTTTTGTACCTGGTGATTGACTCTGAAGGAGTGCTGCCTCAAAGCTGCTTCCGTCGGTGGCAGAGAAGCCAGATCTACTTTCTTATTGGTAGCAGATTTAGCGAACATAAATTGTACCGGAGCTTGTTCAATGATGTTTCCGTTGTATGGGCACCATACAGAGCTAGAACGAATCGTTCACCTGCTGCAGATACTTCTTCACTCGTAGCTTCCGGGGTGTTGAAAGTCTTCGCAACTTCTCGTAATGATGGCTGGTCCGTCATGAGTTTCAAGCATTTCGACTTTCCTTTTCTGAAGAAACATGATGTGGTATCACAACATCCAAAGGCATGTAAGAAAAGGATAGTGCTCTGTTATTTAGTACTGGTTTGTAGTTCGCGGAAACAGTACCTTTTTGCCTCTACATTGCCTCTTCTTGGTTTGACAAAATAAATGTCGCGTTCTGCTGGAGCCAAAGCTATGGGTCGAATAAGTAGATCTACATCTTCTCCAACAACGGTGACTTTGGTAGAGGAAGACATTTCAATAGATGTCTGTATTATTAGCGAATCCGCATAGTCCACTGCTTACGTTGTGCCTTGAACCCTTCGTTTTTTGTATCTGTATGAAGTTCAGCTATTTTTGCATGAATGGCGAAAGCAATAATTTTATTTTAATATTCATTCAAGATGTCTCAGAATTATCTCAAATCTGATTCGATTGAGGTTATGTAGGGGCTACAATTCATTTATTTCAACATCAAACTCTTGCTCTTCGAGCTACTTTAGGTTACAGGACGGCTCACTTGAGAAAACCTGAATATATGGCAACACTGGTATTCTGTAATGGCCGATCGCTGTTGCTAGGATACTCGAATTTGGCGCCGACTCTCTGACAGTTACTTGTAGATGGAATATATGTATATCAGAATTATTGTGAGTAAGTTTCTCAAATATCGCATATTGTTTAACGATTTACTGATGAACCATGCTCTCAACGAATATCTATGTGGGGACCTTTTTTTTTCTAAATTCGATTACCTTCATTTTACCTGAGCATATTGATCTCGATAAAGTCAACAGATATTGAGATATAACCGAATAACTGGAAAAGTGCACACATTTTTCAAGATGGCGGGGTTAGCTCTACAGGTACAGCTGGTGACTTTTTTTTGGTTGAAAGTCATGCCAAAGGGAACATGTACACCAATTTTTAAAACTTTGGGTTCGATTCCCGCTATTCGTCAAATTTGATACTAAGGTGATTGGGCTAAATATACATTTCAGGAATAGCTGATGAGAATGTCGATATCAGCATCATTAGATTTTTTGCTATCCTACCATAGAAATAATAATTATTTCTATGTATCCTACCGACTGCGCCTATTTTGGTTGGGAGCTTTGGAAAACAGTTTCTAAAAACTTTGTTTTCAAAAAAACAATTTTTTGAGTTAAAAGCGGCAATGCCAAGATAACTGGATTCTAAACAGAGGCACAATTTGAAGCATACAATATTATAATCAGTGATATAAATATTTAGCGATTTCTCGTTTCCGCTAAGCTTTGTATTAGATGTCTGTATCTTCATGCTTGAGGTATCGTTATGGCGGTGACTCGTCCTGACGAACACAATTTCGTGAAAAATGAAGCAACACAATTATCTCAAATATTCAGAACTTCGTGATATCACTTATGATATGATATTATGGCTCACTTTGAGCCATGAACTTCCGAAGACTGATTTTTTTCGTGAAATTGAGAAGGCTTCAAAGATCCTTGTTGCTTTACCTTGTAATACTTGTACAGGGTGGGCCACATTGGACACTTTTAAAGGGAAAGGCCTGGGGGTCGATTCTCATGGAAAACTCAATGGTGAAAACCGTATATCGATATCTTCGTTTCGCAGTTATAAGGTGTTTTTCGAAAATGGGAATTTTTGAAAAGTGGCCGAAGATATTTTTTTTGCAAAAATTATCTGTTCTCATGAAAATAACTGCAAAGCATAGAGTTTGTGATAAAAATAGTTCTCGAGGCAATGAAAGTTCTATTTTGCAACTAGGAATGCGGTGACTGATTTTGAGTGCAAACAAAATGCTTTAGAAATGTTTCAAAGAAAACGAACAATTTTTGCCAAAAATAAGAGGAGGACCTCCCTTTCAAAGTGCCCAATTTGGCTCATCCTGTACAGTAGATAGGTCATTTGGTAGCCTTAGGAGAATCAAAACCTGATTGACGAGCACCATGTCTGAAGCTCGACTTAGTGGCCTCGCAATAAATATACACATGCAACATATTTTCGAGAACTTGAACAATTTCGTAAACAAAAGTGACCAACGAATTGGCAAGGAACCCTGAAAGATTATTTTCCAATTGATTTTCTATATAGATTCTTTTTCGTTCTTCTATATCCGAAAATGTGAAATATTCATATTTTCTAGGCCTACTTTCGATTGCTGAATGGGCAAAAGTTTCAAAAACGACTATTAGGCAATTTTTTGTCGAAACAGTGACTATAGCTCATTCGTTTCAGGCATAGCTTAAATACCCTCACACGAAATTTGAATGCAAAATCTCATATAGGGTGTTAGTTATTCAATGGCAAACTTTGATATTCTTGATTTTTTAATTCACCCTGTTTCAAAATCTAAGGAATCGATATAACTGGTGAAGTAGTCATTCAATGGAGTAACACATCGAATACTCGGATTCGAAGTTTCATCGTTGTAACTTCTACAGGAAGATCTCTCTAGGTCAATCAAAAATCAAACCGTTTTTTACACACTCCACCACACAGTTACTTTTAAAATCCATTCGATTGATAAAGAACTGTCGAATAAAACACAAATAGAATGACAAACAAATATTCTCCAAAGACTGCAAGGAGATTTACTGATACTCAATGTGATCATAATAAAATACCGATTTTGGCGAAATTAAAGGGAAATTTAAGATGACCATGGAAATTATTAGCTGAAGGATATATTTTCTCGAATAAGTTACCATTATTTATACTTCCAGGACAAAAGATATGGATTATAATAAAAAAATTGTCAATATATTAAATTTCATCAATTTTTGATTGACCAAGAGAGATCTTCCTGTAGAAGTTACAACGATGAAACTTTGTATCTGAGTATCCGATCTGTTTCTTCATTCAATGACTACTTCACCGGTTATATCAACTCCTTAGATTTTGACACAGGGTGAATAGAAAAATCAAAAATATCAAAATTTGCCACTGAATAACTAACACCCTATAGGAGATTTTGATTTCAGATTTCGAATGGGTTTGTTTCAGCCATGCCTGAATCGAATAGGCTAGTCACAGTTTCGATCAAAAATTGTCTATTCGAGTCGTTTTTGAAATTTCGACCCCTTCAACAAACAAAAGTAGGCCTTGAAAATTCGAATATTTTGAATTTGTTCACATTCTCGAATAGAGGTCGTTGAGTACTACATTATAGATTTTTTGTTTTTTTGTATCAGTCGACAGGTTCTGAATTAGAAGGGCGTACCATACGGTGTGGATAGCAGACTTACTTAAACACAATTCTTTTTCGCACCTTTACATAAGCATAAGGAGATCACGTAGTTTGGAAGATCCACGAGTTCTTCGGCTAAAGTATGCATACAAAATTGCTGAACTTATCTTAGTGACGGTATACACTTACTTTGCAAGGTAAGGAGCATCCATGTGCACACTGCTGCCCAGTGCAGATAATTATTTGCGAAGCATCTCCACCAGCCTAGAACGCAAATGGCGATGTTGATCGACATGCAGCAAATTGACCAGACGATGGTGTCCGCATTCGATCGCAAGTCAATTTTGGTGTTACCGTTGTGCAGGGTCCACACCAATATCAGAGATATCTGGAACGTAACGGGATCATTTTTAATAAATGGAAAATTGATGAGAGTGGAAATCTAGAGATGGGGCTTCAAATACAGGGTAACTCACGCTCGATGGTACGTTAGACGTTTATGGAGAACGCAACGCAGGATTTTTCTGAAAATTCTAATAACTTTCATTAGATTATAAATTTTGGTGGCAGTGCTATCATATTGAAGAATTTTATTTCAACATTGTTTCAGATACAATGCATCCAATTAGATAATTGATACAAATTCGAAGACAGTAATGAATAAAGTATTAATTGATCTCTGAAAATACAAAAATAGTCGAGTTATGGCCCAGTGTCGTTGCCATCGCCATAACTTTCATTAGATTATAAATGTTGGTGGCAGTGCTAATCATATTGAAGAATTTTATTTCAACATTGTTTCAGATGCAATGCAGTCAATTAGATAATTGATACAAATTCGAAAACAGTAATAAATAAAGTATTAATTGATCTCTGAAAATACAAAAATAGTCGAGTTATGGCCCAGTGTCGTTGCCTTCGCCATAACTTTCATTAGATTATAAATTTTGGCGGCAGTGCTAATCATATTGAAGAATTTCATTTCAACATTGTTTCAGATACAATGCATTCAATCAGATAATTGATACAAATTCGAAAACAGTAATAAATAAAGTATTAATTGATCTCTGAAAATACAAAAATAGTCGAGTTATGGCCCAGTGTCGTTGCCTTCGCCATAACTTTCATTAGATTATAAATTTTCGTGGCAGTGCTAATCATATTGAAGAATTTTATTTCAACATTGTTTCAGATACAATGCATTCAATTAGATAATTGATACAAATTCGAAAACAGTAATAAATACAGTATTAATTGATCTCTGAAAATACAAAAATAGTCGAGTTATGGCCCAGTGTCGTTGCCTTCGCCATAACTTTCATTAGATTATGAATTTTGGTGGCAGTGCTAATCATATTGAAGAATTTTATTTCAACATTGTTTCAGATACAATGCATTCAATTAGACAATTGATACAAATTCAAAAACAGTGATGACTAAAGTATTAATTGATCTCTGAAAATACAAAAATAGTCGAGTTATGGCCCAGTGTCGTTGCCTTCGCCATAACTTTCATTAGATTATAAATGTTGGTGGCAGTGCTAATCATATTGAAGAATTTTATTTCAACATTGTTTCAGATACAATGCATTCAATTAGACAATTGATACAAATTCAAAAACAGTGATGACTAAAGTTGTGACGGCGTATTAATATCAATGTTTATGAACACATTGTATATGGGAATTTTGATTATTATTGTCAATGTGGCAGAGTCACGTCACAATTTTGAAAAAGAATAAAGACTTTCTGTTTGGAACTGAAATATTTGATTATCTGTAACATTGTGGTCCTTCGAGAACAACTTGGAGCAGCTATGGACGGAAAAGATTCGAGAAAAGAAGGAAGATCTATGAGAGGAAATGCAGGAGTCAATGCAAGATTGTCCTGTGATTTTCAGTGGCCCAAAGGGTTTGGAGAAGGACGTGATGTGAACACTTCATCCATGATAGAACCCAATGGTGCTCCTCCTCAGAAGAATGGATCTATCCAGGTATTGCAGAATTTAACAAGTCCAACTATGAATCCACCAGTTGCTATAGAAAATGTCAATGACAGTGACATGAACACCAGAAAAGACAACTCAATAAAAAGTAGTGATACTGGGCGTTCTGATATACTATCGACGAGAAGCAAAGCAACAAGCAAGTCTAGGAGATCACAAGTGTCTTTGTGTTTATCCAAGAAACGACTCGCCATTCAGACGGAACTAGAAAAGCAAGAATTAGAAAAGCAACGAAATGAAATAGAAAATAAAATGAAGATTCTTGAACTGGAACATCAATTGAGAGAAGCTGAGATAGAAGCAGTTGAAATTGAAGATAGCGAGTGTTCCAGTAAGGAAAACCAACGAAATCATGCCTGTTCTGTTACATCTGTTGCTCGATGGGTGAATGATATTGAAGTTGGTAAACATCCAATCGAGGAAAATGTAGAAGAAATAGTGAATCTACAATCAATGAAGAAAGATCCAGCTACCACAGACATTCAATTACTGTGCGAAACACTTTCGAATGTCCTGAAATCGGTGTCCCCTGCTGGAAATGATAAGTTATTGGCAAGACATATAGTGGACAAAGATTTCCCAGTCTTTGATGGAAATCCTGAGAATTGGCCTTTATTTCTTCAAAGATATAAACAAATTGTGAAGATGTGTCAATATAGTGATGACGAAATATTGATTAAATTACAAAAAAGTTTGAAAGGGGAAGCAAAAACTGCTGTAGCTGGTATGCTGCTTTTATCCAGTAACGTCGACTTGATCATGGACACCTTGAAAATGCGCTTTGGCAGATCGGAACAAGTTATCGAGATGATGATTTCAAGAGTCAAAGCCATTCCACATTTCCGTGATACGAATGCTGATAAATTGATAAATTTGTCACATGAAGTCAGAAATCTTGTAGCTACCATGAAAGCTTTGGTATCTTTCGATCACCTCCACAACCCTCAGCTACTGAAAGATCTGGTAGGAAAATTACCAGACATTATAAAACTCAGATGGGGCGAACTTCTTGTACAAAAGGAGGGAAGAGCATCTCTGGAAGATTTTTCTACTTGGCTGGCGGAAATTGCGAACGCGGCTTGCTACATCAGTAATCCAAGTACTTCAGAAAATAAATCTTATCCAAAAAATCCAATATGTTGGCAACCGAAGAGTGAAAGGATACTGACTACGAGGGAATTAAGAAAAGATATCTGCTGCTATTGTGAGAAAAACCACATGGAAGCTACCTGTCCCAAAATGGAAGCTGACGACGTGGACAACAGGTGGAAAACAATAACAGAGAAAAAATTGTGTTTTTCATGCCTCAAGAAGGGACATCAGAAATACAGATGTAAGAAACGTCAAGAATGTGGAACAGATGGATGCAAGTTTTTTCATCACCCACTACTACACAAAACTCCTCCAGTCACTAAGGATCAAGAATCACAACCATCAACGTCGAATTTCACCAATCGGAATGAAACAGTGCATTCCATCAGACACGACAACGCGAAGATTCTGCTCAGAATGGTTCCAGTATCTATTTTTGGAACAAACGGTAAGCTGAACGTCCTGGCATTGTGTGATGAGGCGTCAACTGTTACATTGGTTGAAGAGAGTCTTGCTAGAGAGCTGGGGTTGCAGGGAGAAAATGAGCCACTCTGTATCCAATGGACAAACGGAATAACTTCCAGTATGGACACATCTGAAAAATTGAGTTTTTGTATTTCTGGCGTTAAAGGAAAATCTAGGAAATATAATCTGAAGAATGTTCGAACCGTGAAAGGATTGTCTCTTCCAGAACAAACCATCAACATGGAGGATTGGAAGAGTTATGATTATTTGAAAGATCTTCCAATCGATGACTACGCTAATGAACGACCAATGATATTGATTGGCCAGGACAATATCAATTTGATACTACCCCGACAGATACGTAATGGACCCGAACATCTTCCGGTTGCTACGAAGTGCAAACTAGGTTGGTCTCTCCATGGTGTTTCTCCAGGTCAGCGTAGGATGCATGCTCAAATCTATCATATTTGTGAGAGTGAAGTTCGTCTGGAAGAAATGATGAAGAATTCTTTTTCGACTGAAGCATTTGGTGTAGCTATTGTTCCTCATATATTGAGCAAAGAAGATGCAAGAGCTATGGAACTCATGAATCAAACAGCCAAGAGAGTAGGTAATCGATTTGAGATAGGACTCCTCTGGAAATGCGAAGACGTCAAACTTCCAGAGAGTAAGATAATCGCTCTTCAAAGGCTCAAATGTTTAGAAAGAAAGTTCAGGAAAAATGAAGGGTTTGCCTCGCAGTATTGTGAGAAAATCAAAAGCTACATAGAAAAAGGATATGCTGAAAAAGTACCACCAGAAGAAGCAAAGATCGAATCGACGAGGACTTGGTATATGCCACATTTCGCCACCGAAAATGTAAATAAACCTGGAAAAATTCGGTTGGTTTTCGATGCCTCCGCCAAAAGCAATGGGGAGAGTTTGAATGATAACCTGCTGTCCGGACCAGATTTATTACAGTCTCTCACATCAATTTTATGGAAGTTCAGGCAGCGAAAATACGGTATATGTGGTGACATACGTGAAATGTTTCACCAAGTGAACATTCGTAAGGAAGATCGATGTGCTCAGCGTTTCCTGTGGAGAGGATTGGACTATGAGAAAGCACCAGAAGTTTATGAGATGAGAGTGATGACGTTTGGTGCTGCATGTTCACCAGTATGTGCCCAATTCATCAAGAATTTGAATGCAGAACAAAAATCTCCTTCCGAAAAAGTCTTGAATGCCATCACCAAGAAATTTTATGTTGACGACTATTTGGATTCGTTAGATACAGAAGAAGAAGCACTTCAAATGGTACAAGATGTATATAAAGTTCATGCGCTTGGAGGTTTCGAAGTTGTGAACTGGATCTCGAATTCAAAATTAGTCAAAGAAACTCTGTCCGAAGACATGCTGATGATGAAGACATTCAATAATGATATTTGCTCGCCTGAGAGAGTTCTGGGGATATGGTGGCAGTCAACAACAGATGAACTTTTATTTAAAATCAATACTGAAGTCCTTAAAACTAACAATTCGACCGAAAATTTCACGAAAAGGAAAATATTGAAAAATATCATGTCAGTATATGATCCCCTAGGCCTCCTAGCATGTTTTACAGTGCGAGCGAAGATACTTATGCAAGATGTGTGGCGCTTAGGAATCAGCTGGGATGAACATGTTCCTGAAAGTATTCAAGAAAAATGGCTCAGATGGTTGGAAGACCTCAGGGATATTGAAAGAGTCAGAATACCCAGATGTTATTCCACAAATATTCCCGCTGCAAAGCGACTTGAATTACATACATTTTGCGATAGTAGCGAGAAGGCATTTTGCAGTGTCAC